AGACGAATTTGGACATGCATACCTCGAATGCACTATGAACGCGCCACACCTTATCATCATTTACGAGCCTGCCTAGGCCTCCAAGAGCCCGGCAGCCAGCAAGGACCTAGCAGAGAAAAACGGCCCATGCGAGAGCCTCTCGAGCTGTGTTGTGAGGCCCGAAACAGCTGGACGAACTTGGCCGCCCTATCTGGTGAGTGACCGGGTTAGCTCCCAGATACTCGCTTTAGCCTAACGTCACATCCACACTTGGTGAGTTAGCATCTACACGCCCGCAACCCTATCACGCCACGCTAATAACTACCACGTAGCATTGATAATATACGTAACGTTACATGGCAGGACCTGCTATGGACACTAGCCTCCATCAACCAGAAACTAATGCGGAAAGTATCAGCCCGTATCTCGCGTTACCTAACACGAACTCACAACCCAATCTAGCAGGTACGACGTGTAACCGGAGTGAGAAGACGCGAGAACGAGCGTAACTACATGACGACTAGGCGATCTGGCGGAGAAAGGTTGTGGAGCCTCCGTTGATATGCCGTTGTAAATGGCTTGATGGAAAGCAGGTGTGTAGTCGGGGAGGGTGCACAGCTGATTGCAGCAGGTGAGTGGAGGTTGAGCCGGGAGCCAGGAGTGACAGCCACCACGCACACACAAACAACACAGACAGGGGGAAACAAACAAACACAAAGGAGACGGCTGGAGCTGTACAGCCACCACAGCGTTACCTAATGCAACTCCACACTATGTCTTACGGTGCCGTGTACCGGAGGGGAGAGAGAGAGAGCAGCGAAGGGGGGGGGAGAGAGAAGTAATACGGTTTCCTTTTAAAGCTGGGGAGAGTATGTGCTGCAGGGAGGTGGATGCACAACGCACCCAGGAACGAACACTAGCTCCGGTCCTTTTTACTGTGGACTCGATGTCCTGACAGGCTGGTATTTGTGCAACCTGCACAAACAAAATACTGCACCATGATTACAAATGGTGAAATACAATGTAAAACTACCGAAAAATACCAGCTCACACAAAAAAAAAATACCA